TTAAGGAACGTCTAAAACGAAAAAATGCAAAGAACAAAATAGTCTTAGAATTAGTCAAAGAATACGTGTGAATTTTTTCAGATTTTTTTAAACAAATTTTTTTAGTTATAAACAATAAATTTGTTAATAACTTTTAAAATACCAATTTTAACGCTTGGTAACCAAGCTAAATCGATTCAGCACACCAAAAAACCTATAAAAAGCTTTGGTTACCTTATGGACCTGAAAATGTATACTCGACCCATAGCTGGCGCCCGGACTAAAAATACACGTGGCACGAACTGAGTGAGAGTCGTTAAATTCGATTAGAAAGTGTATATCGATGGAAATACAATATATGATCATTTTTCTTCCCCCCCGGAAGGAACTTTACAATTTTTTTTCAATGATTTATGTATATGCAAATTGTATATAATTAAAAATCAGTGACATAAATTACCTCTCGTTCCTCAACCTGTGATCTTAGTCGAGGAAATAAAGCACTGAAATCTATCACATTTCGAAAATTTTTGCAGTAAATCGGATCGAGATGCGGCTTGTTGCATTCGATTCAGCAACGCCAGCGAAAACTTTATGACGATATATACATCATAAAGTACTCATGCGATCAATAAGATTTGAAAAACTGCAAATGTCCGAATGCTAGGCTTGTGTCAGCTCCGCCGTTTACGAGTTCCTTCACCATCTCTGGTTATTTTGATAAAATCGCTAAGTGAAGAATAGTTCTGTGTTTTTCGTCGAGTTCGTTGACTGAAATTGTGTAACAATTCAGCAGTATCTTGAAGATATCGTACTGCTTTCGTATCACTGCCAAGTGCAACAATATACAACCGTCGTCGGTCTATACATTTAGATCGACTTGGTTTTTTACCAATATTCAAATAACATTTTTGTTTCCACTATAAATTTCCATTATCACTGGAGACTTCAAGTAAAACTTATCATCAATTTTTTATCCACGTCGATGTTGATCTGACTTATAAATCTTGGCACTGAAAAGTTGCAGCTAACAATGCATGCCGCTAGAAATGGCTAAGGTCAAATACATCTAGGTAATTTTTTCACAGCCATACATGATTAATAACTTTTTTATATTTTCTATTGAGTAGTCAGGTATAATTGGAGGAACGCCTTGTAACCTCAACTCGGAAGATACTGGCTTGAATTTTAGTTTAATTATTGAGTCAATAAAATATAACCAGAGTATTTTATGGATAGCAGTAGAAGTTTTCACACTCAAATCACTGTATCTAAGTTTATGCTGGTGCAATTTCGAAGTCATGATTTTGTAAAAATGGAACAAATCGATTTCTTTTCTTTTCACTGATTGCTCCAAAATCCAATTTAAATCTTCAACGTGATTTGGTAATGCTAGTTTTTCACAAACTTCTTCTACTTGCACCTCATTTCTATTTTTCGAGGCAATAAGAATCGTTTTATACACTGAAGATCGGATTTCCGAGGGTAACTTAATGGATTTGTAATTAGGAGCCTTCCATTAATTACGTAAGGGTTTTCTTTCTGATTTTTCTGACCTCTCTCCCTGTCGTGTAAGTGGTTTTCCTATCCCTCACAATTACATGGTGAGTAAGGAATTTGGCCTAGGCTCTGCGCAATATAAACGTGGGATGAGCAACAAGTTTGTATACAGTGGAAATCGAATGATTTGATCTCTGATTACGATTCGAATTATCGCATAATTCGTAGCGATCGCGGTCGGTCTGGGCCTCGTTTTCAAACGCCGATGGTCAGTACCCGCGTCACGGGGAAAAAACTTTTGCCGCGATTGTACCTCCAAAAATGCGTTTTCTTAAAAGAATCGCTCATATACACGCATGTGCGTATACGTATAGCATAACGTGTAATCTATGTAACGTCGAGTAGGTTTGTGTGCGGTATGCACCACCCATGTGCAGCAGCAGCACGCATAACATGTAGGTATATAGCTGTCATCGCGCACTCGTGGTCGGCGTGTGTGTGCCATGGATAGGCTCACGCACGTCGTGCTTCGGCTATCGTTTTATACCTATAACATACACACGTAAGACGACGGCTCGAGTGCAGCGATACGCGTTTATATAGGATACGCGCAATAACATATATAGCGTCGGGCCGCGCGTGCACATGTGTGTGCCTCGTTGGCGTTTGTTTGTTGGTGTTCAACAAGATGCGTCGACCAAATGGGAAAGTATGAGATGCGCGGAGGTATACCTTTGCTCCGCGTCGTCGTCTCGCTCCGTCTCTCTCGCAAGCGCGTAGAGCGCGTAGCACGAACGCGTGTACGGGCGCGCGTATACACATGTACGTACAACACGACCTGCTATATGTACGTACCGGAGAGCAAAGAGCCGAGCCCCGCACACACCAGCTTGGATTCGCACTCGCACACGCGTCCGATCCTGTGTGCATCTATATACGACGACTGCTACTGCTGCTGCTGCTGCTGCTGCTGCTGCTGCTGCTGCTGCTGCTGCGTCTCTACCACTGTGCATGGATGCACACATGTATCTTGTGAGCGCGTACTTACGGAGCCGTATTGTATATGTGTACCTTCACGCATAGACTTCCTGTCCTCCGCCTCTTTTCGCAGCTCGCATTTTCTTCTCGCATCCTCCTTCTGTTGACACGCATCGTTACGCAAAGTATCGATCAATTTCTTCGATTCGCCGATTCACATTTATAGCAACTTTTAGCTCGCGTAAAAAATCGGCGAGTTTCCGTAGTTTTTTCGACGCGCGATCGGCATACTGCACGATCGACTTGGAAGAAAGGGTGGCTGACTGCCCACGACGCTTTTTCGTTGACAAACCCATACGCTTGTACATGCAGAATTGTTTTTCAACTCGAGAAAGATGCAGCCTATTGTGGAATTAAGCGCGTACTCTTTCTCTCTCGTGATATTTTCACTCGCATGATTATCGTGCCGAAAGATACCTGTGCCAAGCTCCAATCGGTTTTTTTCACACGTGACACTAAAATTTCAATGTTAAGACACATTAAGAAATTTTAATTTAAGACACGCTAAGAGTATCCTCTAGGACATGCGTTTAAAAATTACTCAACTCAAAGTAAAAACTTTCTTTGATAGATGCTCAATTTTTGGTTTTGTTTTTCGTCGCTTTAGAAATTAAATGACGATTTTTTGGGATTATTTTGATTTAATTAAAGCAAAAGTCATCCGCAATAATTTACATTTTCTCTGACTTCCTGTTGTAACCAATTTACATGACATAATTATACATACTTTTCAAACAAAAAAAGCCCCTTTGTATCACCCAGTGGAATCAAACACCCATGATCTGCAGTAAACCAAAGGAATTGAACCTTTTACGCACACGAGATTTGCATGTATAGCTGAAAAAAATGTAAAAAGTGCGAAATTGTTTTGCGAGCGCGTATGCGCTCGCACACGCAGTGATGATTGTATGAAGCATAGAGGTGTATCGCTACGGCACGCGATTAGCGGTACTTCGCCGGTAAAACACGCGCCGCGTAAAAAAGAGAGAAAGAGAGATTGTTGTTACTCGAACGCGTTCGCGAGTATACTTCAGACTGTATGAATCGAGACTGATGACGAGACTTAATTATATTTATAAATTGACCCATGAAAAAAATATTTTTCCTATTATTAAAACTTCGTCGACTCTCCTCTGGTAAATCAAAATGCTATACTACTTTATATAAGGTAAATCAAAGATATTTTTGTTTGTCCGTTTTCCATGTCTTTTTTATCACAACTAATTATGCATTATTCTTTTATTCACAGATCCGTGACTATACTTATTGTAATATGTTTTAAAACTTATTGTAACAATTTTTTGCATTCCAAGTTTGATAAAATTAAATTAAATTGATAAATTGGTCAAGTTTTAATAGTATGATCCAGATAAGCAGATGATAAAAATTAAAAAAAATCAACTCAATAAAATTAACAAGTATTCATTAATCATTAATAAGTAATCTAATACTCATTCAACAAGACATAAAAGTAATTTAAATAATAAGATAATTTGCATTTTTATTATAATCATCACTTGATTATATTATAAAAATAAAAATATTTTGTACTTTTTTCATTAAAGACTTGAACGTTTAATTGATATTTTTAAAGAAGTGAGTCGAATTATTCATGGAGTATCTTCAATCAAAAGTCCCATATCAATGGGATCAAGTAATTTGAATCTCAATATCGATTCAATCAACCACATGAGTGGTAACGTTTTTAAAAATGGTAAATTGTACATAATTCGACTCGGTTGACCTTCTGCATAATCATAAATAATATAATGAGTGCACTTATGTAAGGAATGATTTGTGTCATGAGCCACATGAAAAGGACTCAGCGAACCTTGAATATCTTCGGGTTTCGGTTCCCTCGTCAAAGTGACACCGTCTCCAGCTGCGACGAGTTTCATCAATTGATCTTTCGAAATTTTCATTCCCTCATAATGTATCCAATCGTGGCTTTTGATTGCGAAGTAAAAGCTACAATTGTTGAAAAGCTTTGGGTTCTGCAAAATAAATTTTACACGTTAAACCAATTTTTTACAAAAAATTATGAGTTGTACATTGTGATGAAAGCATACTTGTTTTTCATTATTTTCTCTAGCACAAGAAGGTCCATTATCTAGTTGAGGAGGATTGACTTCAAACAAACTTAACGCATTTGCAGTAATATTTTCGTTTTCCATGAGTATCGATAAAACTAATAAAAAAAGAGTGTATTTTATTTCAATAATATGATTTTTTTAACAATTCAATAAATTTCACTTACTGTCACTAGTTAATATCCATTTCCCATACAATATTGTCAATAGTATATCAAATGTTAATTGTAATTGAAGAGTTGAATCTGTATCTACGATGACATGGCTTACAATAGGACTAAAAATAATTTTCTTTTTAATAAACTTTTAAAATGATTGCAGTGTCATAAGTACATTACTTACCTTAAATTATTTACTACTCTAATTTTTTTTTCTGTTCCTAATTTCATAAGAAGTTTTTTATTTTTTGGTTTGAGATTGGAACCAAACAAAACAATTTTTGGTTCAGATGAAATGTTTGTTGTTCTATTGAGATCTATTGTTTTTAAATCTGAAACTATTTCTGATTTATCATCAGAAGTATCCTGAGACACATCAAATATTTTTAATATTTCTGGAGAGCTACAATAATCTCTAAAATGAAAATTGTCTGATGAGAAACAATATTTAAATAACTAATTAGTAATTTATAAAAATTACAAACATTGGTTTTTTTCCAACATTGTCAAATACATCTTTGTTAGCGCCAGCTTGAATTAATAGAGCTGCTACATCAGCTTCTTTATTCAAGATTGCATCATGCAATGCAGTCCTACTTTCGAATCCATGCATATCTAAGTTAGTTCCTTTTGTTATAAGCAACTCACAAACTTCATAATAACCATAGCTTGCTGCCTCTTGCTAAATTACATAAAACATTATAATATATGTTTTTCTGAAAGAGTATTTGAAGAAGTAAATCAATTTTACCAGTGGAGTCCATCCGGCATTATCTTTGGTGTTTGGATTCGCTCCTGCATCTAATAGCAACCTTACTCTATCAACATTATCCTAGAATCAGATTGAATATTTTACCTTTTCATGAAATTTTATTGCATATATATTAAATTCCTGAAACTTACTTTGCGACACGCTATATGCAATTGTGTTTCTCCTTTTTGATTTTTTTTATCTATGTTCTTTGGAATAACGTCGTTAGACTTTCCCCTGCGAGTACTTGTACTAGCAATTGACTCACAGTAAGTAGTATTGTTAGGGTCATCGATTGTTATTTTAGATCTACTTGACCTCACTGGAGGAGCTATTGTCGGTTTTTTCATTAACTCATTTATACTGCTAGAACTTTTTTGTCTGGATAAAGATGTTGAAGCCTTAGAAGTTAGAGTCTGTTTAAGAGAGCTATAAAAACAAAAAAAAACATTTTTAAGGACAAGTTTAATAAATAAATAAATAATAAATGAATGTAAAATTACACTAAACCAACAGCTTGAGCAATTTTTTCCAAATTAATGATAACATCATTGACAACAGAATCACTATGAACGTCTGCCAACTTGCCAGGTATTCCACATTCTGGACAGTCGGTTTTGCATTTTCTACACTTTGAACAAACAAAATGACCGCAGTTCAAAAATTGTTGAGGATTCAATAATCTTTGATTGCTGTGGAATAACAAACATATTTTATGAAAACAATGAAAAAAACATGATGGTCAACATAAACAATGTTTCACACAAACCATTCACCACAGGTTAAATCTTTGTAGAATCTATTGATAACTTTATGGGTTTTCACCCAAAGCGTTGTATTGTCAGCCATCTTTAAATAAACAATTTACAGTTCAATAAAATTTTACTAGGAGATTGATTATTTTTCGGTAAAACCACATTTGACCAGTGAGCATATGAAGCAGAAAACTCAAAGCCCGCGTTTAAAATGATGATCAAATGAATTGCTACTTTACACCGATAGGTGGCATGCAGAAACAGAATTATTGAAATTGTACTGACGTCTGACAGTTGCAACAAGTTTTTTTTCAGTCAGAAAATATTGTAGCTAAATGTTATTAAATACGACTGCCGAATACAAAGGTTAATTTTGGATAAAGAAAATGAATATGTTCTATTGATAAACATGGTCTATAGGAAAAATCGATCTGTAACAGCGGAAACAGGAGAATAAACACAAAGTATGTAGGTGTATTATTTATCGGTGACGAGTCACGTGATAACTTTTTCAACCAATGCGAGGCAATGACTTTTAATCGGCTACAGTAATGCGGGAAATGTTGAAATTGTTTGATAATTCGAAAAGAATATGTATTATGATTATAAATATCATCAGTACATTTGAAAAATTGAATTCTTACAAAAAAGTGTATCCTATTTATTTACATATTAAGTAACAATGATTCTTCATCATGTTTTGTTAGTTACATTCTACTGCAGGAATGTAATACTTTATTTGCATATAATCGTCTAGAGTTAAGTTAATATTGACAACTTTATTACTGATAATATTGCAATTCATTGATGTTGGATGCACAGCGTCCCATGCTACGAATGCATGAAATTTTTTAATATCAACACTAGCAGATACTGTTTCATCCTCTGCATCACACTCAAGAACTGTAAGATTTGGAAAATGCACAGACACTGTGGCTGAATCAGCATCAGCTTTAAGAGCCAGCACCCCATTAGTATCAACTGAAATAGTCAGCACTGGACTCATGTTTTTCATTCTTTCTAATACACTGCGTAAATTTTTAAATTGAGGCATTTCTACAGATATCTGAAATTAAAAGATATAAAATTTATATAAGATTTATAGAAATAATTATAAAAATCAAACCAAGTTTATGATAAGAAATTACTTCAAATTTTTCTATGTGTGGTTCATTGAACTCGGGCCACTTTTTTTGAGGAATAATAGTTATTGGTATATCATGAACACACATTCGAGACTCTGCACTAATGGACGACATTTCAATTTCAAATGTTAAACATGGTTGTTGCTTATTGGTTAATCTAATTTTAACACTTCTTGCAGCTGCTTTAAATGTTGAAACACTTTTAGCCAACATGGCTGTATTTAATTCCATATAAATTTCATGGATATCATCAGTTTTTCCATGAACCATATAATCTACAAAAAAGTGATTCTGATCTAGTCTAGCCCACACCATTGGTGTAGTATCATCAGCTATGTTGAAGAAAAAGAAATTTCTTGTCAAACGAATGACACATTGTTTTGACATCCTTGCTACTGTAGTTGCAACATCTGAAATTAATCATAATAATAATAGTAATATATTCAATTTTTGATTCGTTTTATCAACTGAATCAACATTATTTATATTATCTACATATTAGTAAACTCATTCTTACTTGAAAAATCTCTTAGAGATCCTGTATCTGTCATTTTACATTTGAATTTCATTGTGAGCGTTAGTTTTAGATGAATAAATAACTAGGTTATACGTAGTTCTTCAAATTTTAATATCAGCAGTGGTGCAATCAACAGTTTTATTTCGCAAAAATTATACACACACTGAATGTTTATTTATAAGGCATTAACATCATATAAAAATTGTTTCTCATACTAGTACTACACTGGATTAGAAATTTCAAACCATAAGTATAATCAATGCATTCCCTAGTCGTTTCTTTACACAGATTTGGAATCTTGCAAATCGTTGATTCGCCAATCTACAAACTGTTAACTGTCAATCAGAAAGAGAATTTGATTTGCTAAACTGTCGTCTGCTTCGTTCCACGCGTTTACTTATGACGTCAGTGCCATGCCATTTTTTTCAGTTTGCGTGATAATATAGTATATTCTTTCTTTTATTTAAAATGTTGCAAAGATCTATAAAGAACATTTTGTTCAAACTACAAAAACGTGCTTTACATCAAGATAAGAGTGCAGCTAAGGTAGCGAGTGAACAATGCAGCATCGACAAAATTCGAAACATCGGTATACTCGCCCACATAGACGCCGGTAATTTTTCATATTTTTCTTTTTAGAGATTGTTTGTTGATGTTAATGAATAACTTTGAATAGTCCAGAATTTTTTTTCTCGAAATTTCAGTGATACTACATTTACTAATCTTATAGCAATGTAGGTTAAATTTAGAACAGAAGCTTTTTCTAAAATTACGACATTTTTAAACCAATAGGAAAAACTACAACAACAGAGAGAATGCTCTTCTACTCAGGAATCATAAATCACATGGGTGAAGTCCACGATGGAAACACGGTCACTGATTTTATGGATCAAGAGCGGGAAAGAGGAATTACAATTTCTTCTGCTGCTGTAACTTTTGACTGGAAAAGTTATAGATTTAATCTAATTGATACTCCGGGTCACATTGATTTCACAATGGGTGTTGAACAAACTCTTGGAGTAATGGATGGAGGAATTGTAGTTCTGGATGGGAGTGCAGGAGTTGAAGCACAAACCACTACAGTTTGGCGACAAGCTGATAGGTATTGTTTACCTCGAATAGTCTATGTAAACAAGATGGATAGAGCTGATGCAAACTTTTTTATGTGTCTGAAATCATTAGAAACAAAATTAAATGCTGTTACATTTCCAGTTCAACTGCCATTCAAAGAAAATGGAATATTGACCGGAGTTATTGACGTTGTTAATCTTGAAAAAATTATATTTAATAAGAAAAATCAAGGTAGAACTATAATTAAAACAAAATTATGTTCAGATAATGATAATCAATTGTTAACTGAAGCTATAGAACAACGAAATACATTAACTGACAAATTATCTGGAATAGATGATGAATTGGCCAATATTGTTATTGAACAAGATTCTCTTGAAAAGGTATCATCTCAAAATATTGTAGACTCTTTGCGTAGAGTCACAATCTCACAAAAAGGGGTACCTGTTTTATTAGGTAGTTCTTACAAAAATATTGGAGTTCAATCTCTAATGGATAGTGTAATATTGTACTTACCAACTCCCAATTTCAATCAATATAGTAGATTATATAAATGTTTTGAAGATAATCTATCAGCAAGAGTATTTAAAGTGATTCATGACAAGCAACGAGGCCCTGTGACATTTTTCAGAGTTTACACTGGTGAAATGAAAAAGGGTCAAAAATTATATAATATTCAAAGACAACTTGTAGAAACTAGTGGAAAACTTTATGCTGCTTATGCTGACGATTATGAAGAAATTTTTGAAATAAGTCAAGGAAATATTGGTGCTTTAGCAGGTTTAAAGCATACAGTTACCGGTGACTTGTTAACATCTAGTGTTCAAAGTGCAAATAAAGCTAAAAAATATATGCAAACTAAAACATCCTTTGATCAAGAAAAAATTGATAACATTTTTAATGTTGGAACTAATGTACCAGAACCAGTTTTCTTCTGTAATATAGAACCACCATCATTGTCTTATGTGACAGCTTTGGAATCTGCTCTCGAACAATTGCAAAAAGAAGATCCAAGCCTTAGAGTTATTCAAGATATTGAAACCGACCAAACTATATTAGGAGGAATGGGCGAACTCCATCTTGACATTATAAAAGAAAGAATACGTAGTGAATTTAAAATTGATGTTGATCTTGGAGAATTACAAATTGCTTACAAGGAAACAATCAATGAGTCAACCAAAGACACCTACACTGCTAAGCATGAAATAGGAAAATCAAATCATGAAGTTACCATAACAATGTCGCTAATACCAGATTATATTGGAAAAAATGAGTTACTTTTTGATAGAAGTAAGGATAATGCTGCTAATATCGACGCTATTCATCCAAGAACCTTGATTGCTGTGAAAAAAGGTGTTGAGTCTGCATTATCACATGGGCCAAAATTAGGATGCCCAGTAGTGAATGTTGGTGTAAAATTACATTGGCTAGAAGTTAAGAAAGGAACATCTGAGTCAATAATATCAGCTTCAGTGACACAATGTATACAAAAAGTAAGTAGGAAAGCAAATATTTTTCATTGAATTTAATTTTAAGAATTTTACTATTTTTTTCACAAATCTATATTTTCGTGCGATTTTTTTTTGATTGCAAGTTAAAAAGGAGACTTAAATCTATTAGTATAAGGTGGGGTTTTCGGAGTGTCGTTAACTTTGGCTTTTTTGCCTTTCACTTCTGGATATCGAAAATTTGGACATTTAAATTCCCAAGAGTGTGATCCTTCTTTTTCAGCAGCCTTAGGTTTCAAAGATGGGTTATTGTAGACTATGCGTTTCTCCTCGTAAGCTAATTTTCCGTACAAGTAGCTCTGATTAATTATGCTTTCTTTAATTTCTTGTAAATCCAAGTAAGTGGAGTCTGCATCCTCTGCTAATTTTATAGTATGCTTCATTGCCTCAGGAATCGCGTAAGGTCTTAACTTTGCTCGTTGCTTGAAATTCAGATAATTTTTCACAGATTTGACTGGTTGCTTGGAAAAAAAGTCATCGAGTACTTTATCCGATTTGGCCTGTAAATTTTTGAGAAACAATCTGCTGTATCCGCAGGCAGGACTCAAGATGTGGTCTTTTCTACAGGCATTTTTCGAGCTTATCTTTCTAGTTTGAGTGGCTCGCTCGATACCTTTAATGCCCCATTTCAACATGTAATTGTCGAGAAAGCCTTGGTAAAGCTCGTGAGGCATGTCGTCTTCGTTGTAGTGCTTATCGGTCAAATAAATCCTGCGTATGCGACAATTGGCGCAAATTTTCAACCTTGTAATTGCTGTAAACTGCACTTGAAAGATCTTCGACAGATGATTAAAATCTACCTCCAATCTATTCCATCCCGGCTCCAAGTGTACGTGAATCTTCGGTATCGCTTTATACAAGGTTTTCTTCTCTTCGACGGTCGTAAAGTGCATGACATGCTTCGTGCGATCCTTGTCGACCAACTGCAAGAAGAAGCTAAAGTGCGGAAGAGTCGTTTTCACGACGAGCACGACGACCGGTAATGGCAAAGCCAACAGTTGATTTGTATTAGGTGGACACGTAATCCATGTTTTTTGACGATTGGTTTCTTCGACATCTTGAATTTCCAAAACCTTTGTAACATAATCGAGAATTAATGACGTATGTTGTTTGTAAATAAACAAATAACCTACATTTTCGTTGAGCTCTTCGTCTAATATCCTTTTTATAGAACCAGTTTTTGACTTTTCTTTGCTCCAATATTCCAATGGTTTGTCACTTACGCTGTAGAAAAGTCCTAAATATGAACCCAGCATTAGATACTTTTTTGTTAACTTTTTAATTTAGTTCTTCAAAATATTTTTTTTATCGACTTTAGATTTTTAATGGAGTGTCCCAACATTTTTCAATTCGTATAGTCATTTGTTTTGCGCTCAAATCACATGCAATTTGTCTATCACTGTATTGGTACTTTATTCATTATTTACAATTTTACAGATGATGAACGATAGCGGATCACTTTTGCTAGAGCCAATCATGAATTTAGAGGTGGTTACTATTGAAGAAAACTCGTCCAGTGTAATTAACGATTTAACAAGGAGAAGAGCAGAAATTAAAACTATCGATATTCGGGCTCGGAATAAAGTGATTAACTGTAGCGTGCCGCTGTCAGAACTGCTTGGTTACTCAACTCAGCTTCGAATAATAGCGTCTGGAACTGCAACTTTTTCAATGGAATTTAGTCATTATCAACCGATGAGTTCGACGAACGAAAGAGAGGCGATAAAACGTGTTACTGGGTTTTAATCTTTGATGATTTTGAAATAAATTCGGTCACAGATTTGTAAATAAAAATGTATGTTCTCTTAGAGTAACAAATCATGTAAATAAAAATCATTATTTTAAACGAAAATAATTGTATTTTATTAATTTGAAACCAATATGAAATTTCGCAACTTAATTAAAAAACAGTTGTGTTATGGGTTTTTCTACATTTTATGAGGATTCCTACAAGTAAGGATTTTAAAAATAAAACCATTCATGTCTACATTCAAGTCACTTTATTGGCCTCTTGAATTTAATAAGATATATTGCAGATTCTATGACACTTCGCTTAAATTAGAGCGATGTTCGATGTCTATAGTGTACATGATTTTTGGTAAAAAAGTAAAGCCTATACAAAATTTTTTCATTGATACTAATGAAAAATGGTCAAATTGAAGATCATCGATGTCTCGCAAGTAATAGTCGGAAATATAATATAAATTAATTCGTTGTAATTTTTCAGATATGACATTTTCATTAACGTGTGCCGGTCACAGCAAAATCAAGCGTACAAATTTCATGCACGTTGAATAAAAATACATACATAATTTAGAATAATATTGCTCTCATGGTTATGCAAAAATTTTCGTGAGTTATAAAATATAAATATTTGTTTATATTACAATCACTTATTTCGTGTACATAAATATGCATGGATGGATTACAACGCATACATACATTTATAATTCGTTCCGTTATAGAATTAGGTCATTTTTAAATTATAAAAATATTCAGATTAAGTATATAGAGATAATCAGAATAATTTCTAATTCAAATTTGCAAAATTGCAAATAAATAAAATATTTCTTTTCATCATACCCTTTCGTTTGGTACATGATTCATCTATAGAGTACTTAAAAATTGAATCAACTTAAAATTAATTTACGATCGATTTTATCTAGATTTTTCATTTATTTCAAATTTGCACCTTCGTATAAACGTTATTTCGTAATTTATTTTTTTTAATTAAAAAATATAAAAATTCGCTTAAAAAATTGACATTACAATTATTAATGATATAGCACTCACTAGAGCTGATTATAATTACCTATCTTAATTATCACTACTTTATCTTACTTAAAAATCTATCCCTTATATCTCGATTCTGGCTTACAAATATTTTTAAGGGCAGATTTTAGTACGATAAAAAATGACCACATTGCTCTACGTACACTGGTGCAAGAGGTAACGCATGAAAAAAATTGATAAAAAACGTCGCTCACTATTTCACTCCATTATTCGCTCAATAAATTGGCATCATCTATCATACATAAAAAAAAATATCTTCTCGCGCTTTGAACAAAATACTGCGCGCTTGAATAATGCAAAAAAAAACAAACTTAAACATACATCAGACGTGGACTAATATCGATAATATTCAAAACAACTGGTCGACGAGAATAATCAATAGTTTTCCTCGGGTGACTCATAATCAACAGCCCCGACGGGCACGAGGTAATCCTGCATATGTCACAAGCTGACAAGCTTGGGCGCATTGGGATCGCAAGGGGAGCTCAGGTCGACGGCCGATAGATTGCTGTGACTGGTCGTGGCCGTGGCGATGATGTTTTGCCTTTGCTGACTGGAGCACGTGGGTATGAGCGGTGTGGATATCGATACAGGCGTCAGTCCTGTGCCGCCCTCCATTAACGAGTCGAAATTGAAGGGTATGCCCGCCGACGGCGTCGTGATCGGTATGCCCGCGACTTCGCTCGCCGTTTTCATGAAGGTCGGCGTTTCCACCTGTTTGAATTGCAGACTCGAGGGTCGTGGCTTTGGCTCGGTGAACATCGGCAAGGAGTTGGGCCGATTGACGGGGTCAAATACTGGCAAGGAATTCGGCCGATTTGGTCGCATTCCGCTCATCTGCTGCTCGTCTTGGCCTTGATTTTGTAATTTACAGGACAGATCGCCGAATTCCTCGACCGAAGGCAACGCATTATCCGATCCGTGAATGGAATCATTGATATTTGGTTTGATATCTGGTGGCGAAGCTGCCGTCATTCGACAGAAGCCTTGATGACCTTCGAGCATCATTTCTAAATCTCCCTTGGTCTTTATGAGTTCAGCTATTTCATCCTTGAGGTTCTGTTGTTTTGCTTCCAGTTCTTCCGTTTCCTGAAATAATGAAGAAAACAATGAGTTTCTCGCTCTCTCAATCATGGACAATCGCGTCTTTAATTAAGCACGATTAATCGAATACGAACCCCAAGCAGTTGATTCGTGTGATCCATGCGACGTTTGCGACAACGCGCAGCCGCCATTTTATTTCGTTCGCGTCGGAGCTGTCGGCGCTCCTCTTCCTCGGGCGTGATACCCACGGACTTGGTCGGTCGTCTGCCACCCATGTTTCGTTTCTGCTGTTGCGGCTGCTGTTGTGTTTGAACCTCCAGCTGTTGAACAGACTGAGGTTGATTCGTTTGCGGCGGCAGCTCGATTATTTGTTGTTGCTGCAGGGTGACTTGTTGTTGCTGCTGGTGGTGCTGGTGGTGCTGCTGTTCTGGATCGTTGTTTTGCGTCTCGATGGAGAGGTTTTGGGTCTGTGCCGCGATTGGTTGCGAGGGCTCGACCAACGGCGGTACGAAACCTGCCTCTCGACCGTGACTGATCACCGACGTGTCCCCCGTCAACTCCAAAAACGTCTGCTCGATGGATCGCAGTGTCGTGGGCGTCAGGGTCGGCGTGGTGCGCGTCGGTACGCCGCTGTGAATGCCGTCGAACGACGATACGATCTGAAACAAAACGAGAAAAGCTCCATTAGTTGAAAATTCAATTTAGCTCGGAGGATTATTATTCTACTGAATGTATCTGTGCAATCGCTACGAGGAAGTGTCATAATAACTATTATATTGTCAACCTTTGCGTCGCCGGGAAAACTATTAGAATTCCTAGAAAACAGGCGCTAAGTAACCTATGCTCTACGCGCGTATACGCAAAACCTCTCGCGCACGTGTACTTGCCGCGTGCGAGTGTGAGAAAATAAAAGTAACATTTTGACAGTTAGCCAAAGAAATTTCTTTGAACTCTATTAATTATATCGAGGCTTAGCCGATGCCAAGAGATACGGAATTTGATATAACGCCTATATACCAAGAATCGCTTTATCTATTTCATTTCTTGAAAATTGTAAATTCTATAAATGCGCTTTTATGGAGAGACGATGATCGCATTGTCTTTCAACGACGCGCCTATTGCGCTTCAATTTGCGGAGAGACGGCAACAAATCACGTCTGGCGCGCTATAAATTAAAAAAAAACAGTAAGCTAGTCGAAGGGAAGAAAGCTCGCGAGGTTTTAATTGGAAAAAAAAAACGTAAACAAAGCGATGCCGATTTCTTCGGGCATGCTGCAAAGTAGGTGCAAAGCGAGGTTATTATATAGTTCTAAAGTCACAGTAAAGCATCGCCGATAAAAATATCCGTGATCTCGAGCGATAAAGTAAATAAAGCCGATATCTTGGCCACGAGTTATTACACGCGTATAGATGCGCGCCAAGAATCGCCTCGCTGTGTACCGTGTATGTGCACTACTATATATACCTACAGTGCGGCGATCATTGAAATCGTTTCACCATTTTTCTTTTTTTTTCTCTCTCTCGCGATGCTCTGTAAGCTCGGTCGTGTCGTCATCGATATAAATTGAAAGCGACGCAGGTAATTGATATGGGAATCGCATTTGCCTTGAAAAACGGCTCGTCGTTATCGTCATTGTCATTGAAATTAATCGCGACGCCAGTGGTTGTTGTATTATTATTCTTTGTCGTGTACACCGGGTGTCATCGCTAAATTTGTTGCATTTGATTTTTCGCGCATACGAGATGCTGCTACTGCTCGTCGATGTGACACGCTCGCAGAAGGAAGAAGTAAAAAATGTCCCTGACCCTTTGGCACCGCGAATGAAAACCAAGAGAGAAGCCGTGGCGCACGCGTGCAATAAAGCGAGAATCGTGCACCGCAGCTATTTATAAAGGACGCATTTCTATACCTGAATGCGCATTTATACGTGTTTTCTGGAGCGCCGAGAGCGAGAATTGCGTGTAACGATGCTATTATTATTTCTTTGGGATTTTATTTACTGCCTTCGGTTAATTTCTTCATTCTCATAAATTTACGACTACCTCTTTAGAAGAGACGAGAGATTTTTATGTCGAATATTAAAAGAATACTAGTACGTTCGGGACATTGTATAGGAAGCGAGAATACCAAAAAGCCTAAAATTGCATCACGCTTGCTTGAAACAAAAATCATCGACAAAAATAACATATTAGTTTGGTGCAACGCGACGAGATCGTTGATCTCTTCAAGCATACAAGTTCACGTCTAAAGACCGTACAAAGTCACCGCTAACCTAATTTCTCTTTCTTTACCAATTTTCATGCGGCATTATCTTATAGGAAACACACACGTACAACTAACCAGTGTTCTTATACACATTACCGACAATTCCGGATTTTGCCGGTAAAATGTGTAACACAAGGCAATCTATCCCGTCGGGGAAAGTGTAAAGATATTCAAATGAGCATAATATAATGTATACATTAAAACATATAATGTTTTAGGCAGCTATACTCGAAGAGCAAACACACGCGTGCGTACACAAACAGACAGACAAAAAATACGGACCAGAGTCTCGAGAATCAAAAGCAGCGCACTCGTATTAGTGTAAGCAATATATGCGCGCGGCACGGACAAGTGTCATCGCTAAAATTACTCGACGCGCCGAAGCTCCGAAATCGAGTATATACGGCTCTCTCGCGCCCACGCTTTATCTCTTACCTATATGTATAATTCGGGGTAGCTGTCAAGTGGCTTTTTCAAAATTATTTTTAAATCATTTCTAGTTCGAATAATAATAATACACGAAAAAAAGCAGCGCGTAAACTGTAACTTGAAATATTATCACGATGAAACGGGCTCACGGATACAAGTGCGAAGAGCAAAAGGAAAGCTTACCTTATCGCTTCTTTATTATCGATAAGTCGCTAAATCGCGATGTATTCGGGTGTAAGTGCGCTTGTGGAGTAGCAAGATGTATAAAAAAATTAAAACAGTCAATTTCGTGCTAATTTGTATTTTTAACTCTCAGGGACCAATCAGGAAAGCACCAATTAAAAACCGAAATGTGTATACAGCTTATATTATCATGACGTGCTGGCAATTCACTTACTTTCGTGAATTCGAATATAAAGCGTATTATGGTTTATGCGAAATTCCGTAAATCGAGTGAAAAAAGTGGAGCCATTATTATTCATTGGTTTGCAGACAATTGAACTATGATCGGCGCCTAAATATCTCTGGTAAATACTAATGAATTACAATCTAGGTGAAAAACGTAGCCAATAAGAATTAGAAAAATACGCTCTTGTTCTCAATTTCGTAAAATCGATACTTCGTTATCTTCAAACCGGTATAGATAGATGTCGGCGATAATGGCATTAAAAATCACACTCATAACTTAGTGGGCACTGCACACTCTTTGATCGATATACACGGTATTGATTTTTAGGTGAAAACACTAAAGAGCCCGACATTGTTTGAAGGATTTGTCCAATCTGGTTCGCGCACGAGTTAAAACGATTTTTGTATACATTATATATTGCTTTACAGGTAAATGCGAAACATGTCCCAAGTATACTTGCTACGTATTGATTCATGAACCTAACATTTCCTTCGTCAAAGTTCGACGAAAAATTCAAAAATAAGTTTTTTTTACTTAAATGTTACTATCGCTGTCCACTGTCATATTTAGTTTGGAGGGTTCATTATAAATAAATATGAAAGTAGACCATGACTATAACATTCAAACAATAAAAAAAATTTTTGGTTTTGTCGACGTTCGACGAAGGAAACTTCAGGTTCAAATTGATTCAAGTTTAATTTATGTACCCCCGCACACACAAGCGTAAAATATACAACTTTGAGCACATGATGCATAATCTCAGACTGTTACGAGGATTAAATTAATCGCAATCGCGAATTATAAAACATAACAGTGAGAAAAAGATAGGGGCAACGTATATGCGACGTCGGTGGTAGCGATCGCAGCAATTCTCGATCCCCGCGAGTCCGTACAAGTATCAGCCAGTCATATTATTGTTCGTTTGTGCTTAGCTCGTAACAATATAACGATAAGAACTTTAGCTGGCCATTGGCTTTATTATATTCGCGGAGTCGGCTGTCTACGCGAAGCACAAGAGAACCGAGGCAGTTTAAAATTGCATTAGAAAATGAAACGTACGATGGTCCGAATCATCCTTGCCCCATGCAGTACAGAAAAATACTTCCTATTACGAGCAAACTAAGTAGTGCCAAGTCCTACTGGGGCGAAAAAAGCTTGAACCGTGGACCGATAGGTGCTATGCACGAGTGGACGTTCACCTTGTCTGTCCACATGCGCGTGTTCGCGCGCACAACAGCTGCTCTTTTTATTCCGCACAGCAGCTCGCGAACGAGGATCAAACGAGTTGAGACCTGTCTTCTCTCGCGTAGGCGCGCTTATTTTTCGGCACTCGCTCGGTCCTGTAAAATCTCGAGCGTGAATCGCGTGGGCGGTCTTTGTTTGGCGCCTTTGTTAACGCGAAAAATCTAAAAGATTCTCGCCAAGTAACGGACGACTTGCAGAAGCAAAGCTGCCTATGTGTCTGTGTAAAGCTAATTTTCGGCGAACGAGCCTTTATCGCGATAGAATTTCGAAACTATTATATGAAGTACATTATCGGACTATTAAACGTGTAAAAACAAGGTCGATTTGGATATTTGCGACGCTGTGCGTAGGCGAGCGACAACGAGCTTTGCGACTGATACAATATAAGCGCACTCGACAAAGCGCAACAACAGCAGTGCAAGAGACAAAGGGCGCACCGAGTTTATCGTTGCGAAATTCTCGCTGTTTCGTCATTATATCATACGTATAGCTTAGCATGCACACGCGCGCATACTCGGACGCGAGATGCAGTTTTATTTTCTTATCATTCGTAAATAGCTATTATACTATCGATGCAAAAACCACCGACTCCTCGATGAACGGCTAATTCGATATAGTTGGAATAAAAAAACTGACGCAAGTTTTGTTGTTCAATGTATCGCGCGCGTGGGAAAAGTAGAGATGCGCGCGCGCGAGCCAGTGCCCGCCGACGAATGGACTTTGGCAAGCGATACCCGTGGCACAAGCTCCCGGTGCAATTATAGCTTTCCAATGAAAATTGAACGCCGAGCAGCAGGCAAGCGCGCGCGCGTGCATTACGTTGAAGTTCGAGAAAAACAAATTAACGCGAGCTTTTTTTTTCAGAATTCTTACGTTGCGACGACGATATTGGTGTATCGTCCGAGAAAAGCTCGACTCGACGAATTACGAAGAAAAAAAAGTTAGCTTTTTTTCTCTCGGAGCTTTGCTGCCCAAGGTGGTTTTATATATAGCCGGAAGTTTCGAGAGATTTTCTTATAAATTCAGTTTGCGTGGAAATAGATAAAGACGTCAATACGTTTGAACTTGAAGTATCAAAAAAGAAAACTCGTTTGCGTTAAAATTTCACGTATTCGGTCGAGCGCGCGTAGGTGTTGCGGCACTCACACGTATTGATGAATACATTTAAGAATACGAGATCGTGCGCATTCACACGCACACATACACAATTACCATGCACAGGCGCGAGGCAAATTATCGGTTATTCAAGCTATCGATTCTCTCTGGATTTACGCGTGCGATTCTCGCGCGCTCGCTATTCATTCACGATT